AAAATTGAACTGCAACTGAAGTTTCGATACTTCCCAAAAATCCCCAATATTTTCCTCATAAAGTTCTACAAAATAAAGTTGACAGGCCTCTTGAATACATGCATGAGAGCTTATGTTAAAACTTTGAAGTGTGTTGTATCAGAATTGCACTCAAACGAAATAAATTTTTGGCCCGATTGCAACTCTGGGACATTGATAGTAGACATTTCCGCGCTCGTCAGACCTCACTGGAACTCTCCAAAATATTTGATTAATTAAATACAATATATTAAACGAGGTAAATCAGCATCTGCGAAACATGGATACAACGACCAAAGTCGTATGCGCATAAAATAGCTGTAGAGATACTATAATAGGTAGGTAGAACGATGCGAGAAGGGATGCTCGATACAGATACATAAGATCATCATCATTAATATAATAGTCTAAGTTTGGAGGTGTTTCGGAGGAGTGGGGAGAAGAATATGGTTGGACGTAATCGGTCATTACGATGACATTTTGAGTCGCAGTGTAGAGTTCGCAGACTCAGAGTTTAAACACGCATTATTTGCGTTATGCAAAAGACGAAAATGTGAACACGAATGTTTTGTTTGAGAAGATTTAAAATGAGAAACACGAAGAGCACAAAAAGAAAACGTATGCAAAACATGAAAGCAAAACAGATCATATAGTCAACTCACTTCCCAATGTGGGTACATCCATCGGCATCATGGAGTAGGTGCGCCTGTGAAACGTCACATCAAGCTTTCCTTCTGCCATTTCCTTATCTTCAGGGGATTGAGCAATCCGCGCAAACACCTTACGTGTCGCTGAACTCTCCAAATCGAGATTGGGTAAATCTGGGAAGCACAGTGTGACGGCAAAGCTTCGGAGACGAGCGAACGAGTAGGAAGAGGAAGTAGGCCCATCATACCATCGCGACTTGACAAACTTTTGCATCGTTCCAACCTGGAAGATTGGGTCAATGTCAAGAGCGACATTTTCCAATTTTCTCAGGGGCGAAGAAGCAAGGCGGCTTGAGCGAGACCTCGCAGAGCGCATTGAGCTCGTCGAGGGTCGGCGCAATGCAGAAGAAATCGCGAATGATGGCAAGGTGAGATATTCCAACAGTTCAGGCCATACGGGTTTATCCCTCTTCACGTGCAGGGTGCTTAAGCTATCTGCCACGTTGTCTAGGGCGAGATATGCTTGGACATGCTCTTCTTCCAATTCTGCGCCGAAGGCCGCTACATTGTCCCATACGTTCAAGGTAGAAGAATTGGAAGGGGAAGAGTTAAATCCCAAGCACAGCGAGGTTACGCACGAAGAGGTACGCTCGAGGAACCCGAGGAAGGAATCGTGAGGCCAGGAAAGTTCGAGATCCTCAGGTAGGTCAGAGGAAGAAAAGTCGACCGAGTTGGTAGATTCAGGGAAATGGCCCATCTCGAAAACCACCTCACGAGCACTTGGCAAGGTCAGGTTATCGAAAAATTGGGACATGGCTTCCCCGGATCCGCCATGAGACACGCGAAGCTCGAATGTCTGAAGTGAAGGATGTATAATCATGGATGCAGAAGAAAGATCATCGTCCAGTATAAGACCCGCGACCTGAACCTTCAACTCCTTCAAGCTCGGAGCAGCGTCCCTCAACAACCCAAGAAGAGCACTTGTGTCAACGATGGGGACTTCGATCGTCAACGATTCAAGAAGGGGAAGAGATAATGTAGACAAAGCCTCGGATGCTAACCCAGGAAGCTGAAGCCGCAGATCTCGTAGGACGGTCGCAGAGTGGATCAATGAAAATGTCCACTGTGACACCGGGTGCAGTACCGTTGACAACGAGTGGTGAAACGCAAGGTCGAGCGACTCCAGGTTCGGCGCTGTCATCAATTCTGATATATCCGGAAACGAAAAAGGTTTTGGGTACCTAGAGAACGTGGACAAACCTTCGTCGAAATGAAGGCTAAATGTCTTCCAACGATGCAATTGCGTGACTGCGGCATGGAGAATGTCCGAAGACAGCTGTCCAAGATCAGCGTCCGGGATGTCCGTACGACATTTCCGCAGACTGATGTCAAAGTCCAATGGTAGACCTGTAGCCGCTTTGACCTGATCCATCCTTTGCGAGATATTCGCCACAACCTGCTTGGTTACGTGTGGAACGGACAAAGAGGTCCATAGAATCGGGGAGGATAATGCTACCTGGCGCCAAGTACGGCAGACGTGAGTAAGAACGGTTGCACTCCCGAGAGAAGATGAACATTCGGCATCGGCAACATAGTACTGAAAAATTTCTAACAACTGGCGGGAAGAAGGTAAGAGCATGGGTAGACAGATATCATAGCGACTTACCAGGTCTGCAGGCACTTTTCTCATACTGCATCCAATGACTCCACGGTAAAGGTCAATGGTATCCGTCATGTCTTCCAGCTCCTCATCCAAGAGAGAGCTCTGTCGGTTCAAAATCTCTCTTTGACGATCGAGAACCTCTTTTCTCTGTTCAAGCTCAAAAAGTTGCCGTTTTTTGAGATCCAGCAGGGCATGGATCTCAAGCGATTCTTGCGGCGAAGGCTGATCATTTGTTTGAAGGAGACTGGAGTTACTGGAGAGGGAAGTATATACAGATGAGATGGAGGTGGTGGTATCGATGGAGGTCTTGGCCGAGATATCTGTGAACTCTGAGCCGTCTGAATCCTCTGAACTTCGTTCCATGGGCTTCTGAAGCTGGTGTGCCTTCTGAATGGGTGGAGATCTAAGCGAGAGGTAAATGGACAGAAGAGATACCAACCTTATTGGACACCCTCCAGGCAGAGTGGCGCTGGATTTTGCTCCGGAAACGATCGAACAACGTGAAGTGCATAATGGAAGTGAGACGCTGGAACAGAAGAAGTTGCAGACGACCGGGAGGGGCACCTGGCCAAACTGAAAGGTCGCCGAGAAATTTATAGGTGCTGAAAATATTTTATTGTTTTTTTCGTCCCTTTTGTACTTGTCAATTCACGTCACAGTTATACATAACGTTATTACGCGGTGACTCCAATATCATGGGGCAATGCCAGTGCCGTGTTCCGACCTCGAGCATCAACGTGGGACGCTCAATCATGACTCTCTGCTCGTACTACGAAACAGTTCTGGAAGTCGATGCGCAAGATGGATGCTAGAAGGAAAGATATCAGATCGCACGGATGCTTTTTGACAGTGAATATGGCTTCCAAAGATAAGATATTTTTTTTTGTTATCTTATCAACGGAGTTCAGGATTCACTTCAAAAGATTTATCTTTCTTCTAAATGGGCATACGAATCGTATTTACGATGTATTCAATCTCGTTCCGTGCTCCGTATGTATGCTCAGAGGTCGATTCCCATAAAGTTCTGTAGAAATCGAGACCAAGAGCTGTAAATAACAACGTGAAGAGTCCGACCATCGTCCAATCATCATCAGAGGTACGACAGATCATTCTCAGTGGACATTCATACTGTTGCTTACAAAGTATATGTTGCTTTCTCCATTCCCAAGGCCGAGTGAGTCGGACTCAAACTGGCTGCATGTACATCTCGACAGCCTGAAGATCAAATTCATTCTTCGAAATACAGAGTCAAGGTCTTGTTCAGCGTTCCGTTATTCCTTGGAAATCGCCGATGATAAATATTCAAGTATACATGCAGACATACAGCTGCCAAATAAAGTGTACGTACTGAAACGCCAGGTTTTCGCGTTTGTTTTCCCATTGCCGCCCAATCCGTCGGGGAAAATGTACCCTCCAATGATGGCGCGAATAGGGGGCGCGAAAAACATGTCGGCAAGGGCGGAACATGGAAACCGAATTTGTGTGTATTTCAAGGGAAGCAACCTGAAGCAGCTCAGGGACTCACTAACAATATTTTACATAGGCGCATATAGCAACCAAGGGCCGTCGTCTACGAGCATCTGGTGAATCTCAAAATAGCCCTCAGATTCACCAAGATCTTCCGGCATGTCTCGAGTGACTCAGGATGGCCGCTGTAAATTAAAAGATGATAAATGCTTTCTACCACGGTGCGAGCGCTCTGAGGCGCTGTGGCAAATCATTTTTCGATTTAATTTTCCTTCCCATTCAAGCGGTGATTCCTGGATTGCCTTTTTGAGATATTCTTCTGGACTTTCATATCTTTATGATGTTGTTTTGTTCGTGAGGATGATAGGAGGTTTTCGTCTGCTTGGCCGATTCTGAACTCTTTGAAGCTGGACTTCCCTTCACCAAAATTTTACCTGGATTACTTTCGAAACCTCTGCTTACATCTTCTGGTCCCTTTATTCTAGAAGCGTGAAATGCTTGCCTCTAACCCGACCAGAAAACGCGCCCCATTTGTACAGCTGACCCTGTTGCAGTTCGTGGGAGGATGCCGTAGACAAGTAACTTGCTTTGGGCCAGGAATCGAGGCTTCCTGAGACCTTGATTCCTTGTTCCTTACGAGTCAAACCTGTCAGGCAGAACAGGTTGAATTTTATTTTAACCTCTTGACAGTTTTCATTACGGATCTACGGTTTCTCTGCAGGAGAACGGCATACGGGGGATGAGGCGAGAAACGATGATTGATTCCGCAGCACTATCGATTTGGATATGAAAAAAGGCCGACTGTTTCTTGTGGAAGAATACAATGGGGTACGCTGGCCATCCGATTTTGCAGCGTCCACAAATCTTTGACATTACTTTCTTTTCTCGACCCTTCCTATCGTCACGCATGGTCAATTTATCCGGTAGATATTCACGGAGAGAACCCCTTCATTTGCGCCTTCATTTGCGCTTCCCGTGATTATTGCTTCCACAGAAAAAGATGAGTGTGGGGAAGATTACTCACGAGAATCTTGCGAAGACTCGAAGACCTGCGCGGGAGAATTTTTGACAAAGATCAAAGCAGCGTTTATGAGTTCCTAATATGGAACCCTTGCGCCACACATCCTGGCACCTGGTCCTGACCCTGGTCTAGAAGTTCTGTTATCTTGTAAACGTCAGTCACCTAATTCGTCAATGAAAGATGTGGTGAGATGGCCGAGTGGTCTAAGGCGCTAGATTTAGGTATCTTTTGGAAGGCCTACCTCTAGTCATTCGTGGCGTGGGTTCAAATCCCACTCTCATCAATGAACATGTAGTTTTTATTTTATTCAGGCTCTTCCTAGTTTGAAAGAATCTTATTTTTTCCTACCATGGTGTCTGCAACCCACTGGTCATCTGGAGGAATGAACAGAAAACCAAGAAGTAGACTCTATCTGATTTTAAAGATGTAAATGTTCATGAGGAAGTATGCATTCTTGCTGAAATGCTTCTCGCAGCTGATCAAAGCTCCACACCTCAACTTGACCAAACACCGATAAGATGCGGCGCAAATGTAACCAAAATTATATTCAACCATTCAAGTGCAGGTTGGGGCAGTGAGTTGGCCATGAGAGCACGCCAATCTTCCAGATAGCAAGTAAGCGGTCTCAACCTTGGGTGGAAGCGAGCTGAGTCACTGACCTTGAGTGGGCCACGAGGGTGGTCGGGAAATCTACCATATGTCGCCTGCTCAATACTCAATACAGGACTCGGCCGGATGCCCTTAGTTACGTTTAAGAACCCCCCGAACTGACATTGTGCAGTATGCGAGGACAGACTGCTCGTACGATTTCGAATTCTCGATAGTACCGCAATTTAACCGGATAAGCGTTCGCTTGTCCTTCCGGCCAAACTTCAGCGCCGCGCATGAGGACATCCTGTCGATCTTTGCAGCCATTTCTTCTGGAAATGCTCATGAATTCTCCGAGAGCAATGTTATCTTACGTGTGAGTAGCGATCACGTTAATGCTCTCGGCAAAGCTGGCAAGTCACGTTTGGGTATGCCGAGAAGCAAATGGCAATGTCCGTTGAACTTTTACTCAGTACTGCAGTGCATCCCAGACTTGTCCCAGACCTCAGAAGGACCAGCCAAGGTCACAGTTAGCCAGTTCGTCATTAGAGTATGGCAAGAATGCACCAAACCTTTTACAACTTGGCCGACAAGTTACAATTTCTCTTTGGCTCAAAGGGCTAAACAGGACTTGGTTATTACCTTGGAACGTCCAAGTTTCAAGTTTCGAGACTCATTACAGGATTGCGCTTCTGTTCCCACCTGGATTTCCAGACTAAACCTTTTTCAAATCTTTGCCAGAATGCAGTATTCGAAGACAGCTGCGATGCTGAAACTTGCCAATGACTTATATCGAGCTGCTTCCTAGCTAGTCAACGATTTCATTTCAATCTCCGAAGAATCTCAACACGAGTTCTCAACGCGCCGCCTTCATCCCGCTATTCCATGCCACCGGTCTTGTCGGTTGTCTCGCCTGGTTCCATACCCCTTCCGTAACGGCATACTATACCCTTTCTTATCCGCCATAGCGCTTGTGCTCTGTGCACAATGCGCACCGACGGTGCCGCACACCCTTTTCATCGACTGTTCGTTCGGTTGGTTTCTCCTATCCTATCTGATCTTACTCAGTTACTGGAGCCTCGGACTCGGAGTTGCAAAACCTATACGTATGATTGCCGTGGTTTCTTTACATAATGTACAATCGTTAGAGCAACTTCTGGCGCTTGGCTCCACTATTTTGAGTTTGATGTAGCCATCTTGTGGTGCTGTGAGTGGACACTGGATACTTTGTCGACGGATGTCGAGGCCCCACTACTTAAGTACTGCTCTATGTTCAACCGTGTCCGAACTCCCGGATGTGTTTGAAGTTGCCGTTGACAGGCGATTGAAACTAGTTGTAAAAGTGCTAATGGGAGGAAGGAAAACGCCATTGACTCGCATCTAGAGACTATATAGCGTACTACAGCTTTCTGAATTCAACTATGGGTAGCAATCTGTAACTTCGTTGCTTGGCCACGAGGCGCTGCGGTCTTCGATTTGATCATGTCACGGCAACCTGTAACCTGTACTTTACCCTTTCCGCTGTTCTTAAAGTTGTAAGCGCTCGAAATGCTCCGAATATTTTTTGTTCCCCTTTCTCCATGTCGGCGTACTCAGAAGGTAGACGCTATTTTATTTTACTTATACTGTCTTTGGTAGGCCTTTTTCTTTTGAGTTCTTAGCTTCATTACTCAAATTCGTTTAGTTATGTCTGTTTTACACAACTGTACTTTTACGTGGAGGATTCCGAAGGCTCGTTTCTGTTGATACATCCGCCCAAGGAGAATTAGAACCAATTACCAAGAGAGAAAACGCGACATTGGTGTTTTTGGCGCGAAATTCCGAACTCAAAGGCGTCCTTTCGAGTATGAAAGGCATTGAAAGCCGTTTCAACCACAGATACCAGTATCCTTGGGTGTTCCTTAACGACGAAGAGTTTTCGAATGAGTTCAAAGGGTGCGTGTCTAACCAGTCTTCCTCAACCTGCTCGGCTTACTGGTCTAAAAAGTCGCGTCATGCTCGAAACGAATGCACCAGTACACTTTGGATTGATTCCAAAGGATCACTGGGTGCAACCCTCATGGATCGATGAAAAAAAGGCCGAAGAATCGCGCAAGCGATTGAAGAGTATGAATACCATCTACGGTGGTACGAACTATTTCCTTTTTTACGTGTCAAAGCGTTCTGATGATCTTTCCAGACAGCACAAGCTACCGCAACATGTGCAGATGGAACTCAGGCGTGCGTTGACTCTTGCAGGTGCTCCTGTGCTCGTATTGAAAACCACTACTATGCAGTACTTTTTCCGTCACCCGTTGCTTCAGCAATTCAGGTATTACTGGCGAATAGAGTAAGTCCTCGGCTTTTGTGTATCTGTGCACAACTGCGGTGCTAATCCTTTCAATCTACAGACCCGATGTAAAATACTTTTGCGACCTTAATTACGACCCGTTTGAATTTATGATTCGACACGACCATACATATGGATTCACAATTGCTTTATACGAGCTGCCCGAAACGATCACCACATTATGGGATAGCACGAAAGGTAGCTCCATCTTTGCATCGGCTGTTCGGGTGCTCACACGGCAATTGGTGGATAGAATTCATGGCCAAATACCCACAATATATTGCTAACGACAATGCCATGGAATTTCTCAGCAATGATGGAGGGAAGACTTACAATCTGTGTCATTGTATGTTTGTTCTTTCCGACCTTGTCGCTTCTGCTGATCCCCTACCAGTCTGGAGCAATTTTGAGATTGCGGACATGGATTTCTGGCGCAGTGAAGCGTACCAAAAGTTCTTCGAGTTTCTTGACGCGAAAGGAGGTTTCTACTATGAGGTAAGTTCATCATCACCGGTCTTCTTGGCCTATGATACTATCTGTCTATCCAGAGATGGGGTGATGCTCCTGTGCATTCAATAGCTGCGGCGCTTTTCCTTCCCAAGCATAAATTGCACTTCTTCCGTGATATTGGATATCAGCATGCTTCATACCAACATTGTCCTTCCAGTGCTGAATCTGGAGGTAACTATTGCTCCTGCCATCGGTGGAACACCATAGATCATCACAAAGAATCATGCCTACCGCAATACGAAGCTATAGAGCCGGCTATCACAGTAAACTCGGGCAGTGGTTTATTCCCCTGGTCATAATACGGTCCGAATAATGACTATATCTAAATTATTATCTTATGTACGTGTACATTGCTAAATTATCTACTCTAGAAATCTCAGAAGCTATATGCCATATTCCGTCCAAACCTCATCAAGTCTCTGTACTAATCAACTGGGTGTGATAGAAACCGGTCTACATCTGATGTCCACCAGGCAATGTGTTTTATAAGTGTGGTGAATGCGTCCAACTTTTCTCCTCCTCGCTTAAACACAATACAGTATCCTTGACTGAGGTCTTCCAGTCAATGTACTCTGTAACCCCAAGGACTTCTGTTGCCAAGGTCGTATCTACAACTGATACTGGACCGGGGAACGGTGCCGCATGACTCAATTCATCCTTCGAAGGAAGCCTTCTCTTAACTTCTTCCGGTACCCCTGCATCTTCAGACAGATACTCGGCAGCATCTTTCCAATGGAAGGTCCCTCCGGAAACTAGGAACCTCTGCGGCTCATTGGGCTTGATGGTATTGGCTTTGACAGCCAACAACGCGGCGACATGTGCCTTTGCTGCATCTCTTACATCGCAGAACTGCGGCGCAGCATTGGGGAGTTTGCCCTTGAGGAGAGTGTATACGAAAGCATTGGTGCCTAAACTTGCTTCGCCATTGGTGGGAGGGAACCCTGCTGAACTAGGACCGTACAAGAACGGTGGATTGACTAAAATGACAGGATGATCGACAGATTAGCTCAGTGGTGGGTTTGAAAGGAAAGAAACTTACTCGTTGCTATCTTGATTCCAGGGTTCTCTCTCCCGAATTTGAGTACTTCCTTCTCTGCCAGCTGCTTTGAGGCTTTGTATATCCGAAATTCATTGTTGGGCTGGGATAAGGCATCTTCCTTGGAGACCTCTGGAAAGACTTTTTCAGAGTATGTGATTCCAGAATAGGTATCAGATGCATCCGCTGCGAGGAATAAGATTGAGCATATGCATTTCTCGAGCTGACAATATACGACTTACGATTCTTGAACACGGCCACGATACTGCTGGTAACGACAAAGTTCTTTATTCCGGCGTCCTTGGCTTGGCGGAGGACATTCATAGTCCCGGATATTGCGGACTGGATCATGAAAATCAGCAAGTCGAATAGAATAATAATTCTAGTTACATACCTCAATCACTACTTCAGCTGATGCTTTTCCAGCTAGAGGAGATGCAACGTGTATTACGGAACTAACACCTGCGATGGGGGACCGGTAAGTATTTATTTATTCTGGCTAATTGGGATTGGCACACGAACCTTTCAAGGCCTCAGTCAGATCGCTAGATGCGACGTCGTCTACTTGAACGAGTTCGAGATCGGGGTACAGTTTCCTCAAACCAGAGGCGCGCAGGGTTTGCAGTTTAGCATGGCGGGCGGTCCCTCGAACGCGAAAACCTCTGCGAAGGAGATTGACCGCGACGTGGGACGCAAGGAAACCTGATACTCCGGTAACCTACAAAACGTGAGGATATTTTACGACATCTGAGTACAGGATGACCTACGAGAACGATATCTTGTGCGGTGTTGGGGCTCATGGCTAGACTAGGGCAATTGG